TTGGGGCTGTCGTTGGTTGGTTGGTTGGTTCGGTCAGGCACCAAAACAAGAAACTCAATGAGAAATATTTGGTGCAAGTTCAGTAATAGCGACATGTCCACCACAGATGACTACAGCACCACACACGACATTTTTCTTAAGCTAACATGCTCCGGCTGCCATCCACAGAATAGCTAGAGACCCCTACATGTTTTCTACGTGGTCAAGAGGTATATACACAATCCTTCAAAGGACAGGATTGAAGGGCCAATCACCAGCTAGTACCCTCGAGATCACATCTAGTTCTCAGCAGCTGGGCCCCCCCTTCCCGCCCCTGCTCTGGGCACGGCCAGCTCCCTCCCCCCCCCTGCACAGCAAGGGGAAAAGCCAGTCACCATTCTGGATGGGTGGGTCCTTCCCACCTCTCCTCTCCCTCAGACACTGATACCAACTCCTCTTTCCACAAAATGTGCTTGCAGGCGTCTTCTCTACGTCAAATGGCTCAGAAGGCAAAGTTTGGCTGCAAGGGCTATGGCCGTGGGTGGGGGGGGACCTGGTGAAGGAAACGGGGCATCCACTGGCTAGCTTCCTCCCTCAGCTGTCGGCTCCCAGCTGTGTCTCAATGTCCACTCGGCAGATGGGGCATTTCTTGCTCATGGCGAGCCACTGGTCCACACACAGTTGGTGGAAGAGATGCATACAAGGTAGGCGTCTGGAAAAGAGGAGAGTCAGGTGACCAGCAGCAGGGGCAAGGTGATGGGAACCACTGAGGACTTGATAAAGAGGGCTCTTGGAACCCAGATCCTGGAGTGAGGCTGTGGCTGAGAAGGGAAACCATGCCTGGAACTGTCGAAGCCTTCTCTCATTAAGGCCTTGGCTTTGTCTTAGACCCATCCATGTCTCCATGACTCCATGTTCATGGTTACCACATCTAGAATATTTTACACACCACTTTGCTAGAGCAACCATGAAACACTGTAGCTCCCTAAGGTACACACCAAGTAAGTGCCTCCTTCGTTGGGCATGCAGTACAGTGACAGGTCACTAACATCCATGAGAGAAGGGGGAGGAACTACAAGAGTGGCCTCTTACCTTACATCTTCTCCATCTTCCAACATAGACAGACAAATTGTGCATTTCTCATCTGTGTCTGACTCTTCCCCTTCGTCTTTCTTGCCCTTGCTGTCCTGGGGTCTTCGCTGTGAGTAGAGGGAAAAAAATTAGTTACCCAGAACAGACTCCTGTTTTCCCATGACTTTCTCCCACAGCCTCCTCTCTTTCTAGGGGAGCCTTCATTCCCTAGGGGTTAATCTCTAAGTATTCACCCATAACTCCTCACTCCTGCTTCTGGAGAGAGAAAGTTAAAAATCAAACAAGTAAGAGGGCAGTAGACTGTTGTCGTAGACACTGTCAAGGGGCCCAGTGTTTGGAAAGGAGCCAGGCTCCTAGTCATTCTGCCCTTTGCAAAGCTACTGGCTGTGAATTTTGGCTTCACCTGTCTTCTTTCACATTGTCTACTCTCTCTCACACCCTATCCAACTTCTACCCCTGC